AACCTTCAAAGAGAGATGCCTGCCCAGAATTCCTAGTGTTATTACCCACAAACCTGGCTGATTCCATTTGCATTTTTAACCTGAATATCCAACAGAACAGGATCTATGGTAGCCAGTCTCAAAAGATGGCCACCCCCCTCCCTGTTTACACATGCCAATCTTAATTACATCAATAGATAGAGATTATTTCCCCTCCTTCTTGACTTTGAGTTGGCCTTGACTGGCTTTGACCAACAGTGACATTCTAGGACTTCCAAATCTTGGATTTAAGAGGATTGACAGTTTCTTTTTTTTTTTTTTTTTCCTTTTTTTTTTGTCTTTTTTTTGAGTCCGGCAACGGATCGCAACCCTCAGTGTTGCGTCCGCACCTCGCTCAGCCAGTGAGCGGGAACCGGTCTGTATGTGGGATCCGAACCCTCGGCGGGAGCGCCGCCGCACTCCCAAGCGGCGCACTGTAGCAGTGCACCACCGGGCCGGCCCGAGATTGACAGTTTCTAATTCCTCTCTCCTGGAATGCTCCTAGAACCCAGCCACCATGCTTAAAGAAAATCCAAGGGCTGGCCTGTGGCTCACTCCAGAGAGTGCGGTGCTGATAACATCAAGGCCATGGGTTCGGATCCTATAAAGGGATGGCCGGTTGGCTCACTTGGGGAGCGTGGTGCTGACAGCACCAAGTCAAGGGTTAAGATCCCCTTACCGGTCATCTTTAAAAAAAAAAAGAAAGAAAGAAAATCCAAGCAGCCAGCGGGGCAGAGGCCCATATAGAGAAGAACTTAAGGCCTAAGGCCTTTAGCCCTAAACTCTCAGCCAGCGGCCAGCCATGTGAACGTGGCCATTTTGAACATTCCCACCATGTCGGCACCCCAATACACACCTAGTAGTTCAGAAAAACCATCAGATTTGAGAGAAATAATAAATTGGGGTTTTTGTTTTGTTTTGTTTTGTTTTAAAGATGACCGGTAAGAGGATCTTAACCCTTGGCTTGGTGTTGTCAGCACCTCTCAGCCAGTGAGCAAACCGGCCATCCCTATATGAGATCCAAACCCATGGTCTTTGGTGTTATCAGCACCGCACTCTCTCCAGTGAGCCACAGGCCAGCCCATAAATTGGTTTCCTTAAGCACTAAGTTTTGGGGTAGTTTGTTACATAGCAATATTTACCTTTTATAATGTTTTACTTATCAGCTCTATAAAAAACTTTCATATGTCCTAAAATCATCTCATCCAAGTTCCCCATACTGGCCAGCCACAAAATAAATACATACATACATACATACATACATAAACAAACAAACTTCAAATTCTTCCTCAGCTTGTCTTTCCATTCCCCATATACTAAATGTTTATATATGTGTGTATATATATATTTACATAAATAGAACAGGGCCTATATTCCCTCAAGACATTTTCATTTCTCTTCTCAGGTCCTCTCCCAGTTGCTGTTTATCTTTCCTGAGGTTTATACTTTTGTTGACCAAGGAAGTATTATATTAGGAAAGGTCCTTGAGGACCTGCTAAAGTTGAATGAGAGACATTAGCACATAGGTTATTTAATTTAAACTACTACTTTCCTATCATTTATTTGTTTTTAGAAATTAAACATTCTGCTTAAACTATTTTTCACAAGTATCCAAAGGTAAGCTCTAGGCCTAGACCATGTATGAATTATGGACAACTCTGAATTAGTAGTCTTGTTAAGATTTTATTGTAAAGTGCCTAAACAAAGTACTATATTAACGTGGTAATGAAGAAATTCAAGATAGTATCCATTTCATGTAGGAGTTGTAAACAAATTTTACGTTTTTTTAAAATATGGAAATCGGGGCATCTATACAAAAGTTATCATTAGCAATCCACAATTGAGGGAAAGTGTAAAGCCAGAACAAGGGCAAATACTAAATAAAAATCTCGATTTGATTAAAAGGATAGCCCTTCTATGTGCACTCTGCACTAATTTCTTGATGCAGGCTCAAATAAAATACTTTCCTATCTCAAAATTAATTCTGAATAAACAGACATGTTATAGCAGGGTAAATGGGACCAAAGAGAAGTTGTGACTTACTCAGATTCATAATAAGACTGTTACTGGGCTGAAAGAGAATAATGAATCTCTAACTCTCCATTCTCTGCTTCTCTTATTAAGGTGTCATTCTTGGTGACCCTCTTCTAGTTGGCCTTTCTCAAACAGCAGCCACAAAAGCAGGTAAGGTTAAAGATGAAAGTAACTAAAATTAAAGAAAAATTGGCTTCTCCCCGTGGAAACTGACTCAACATTTAACAATGTGTGGTGCCTCAAAAGCTGAAAACAACTACATGGTCATCTCCAGGTCCAGTTTAACTTAATCAGGGGGTCATTATCGAAACATAACTCACTGGTACAAAGCAGAGATCAAGTAGTTGAGAATGTTCCTAGGCTGAGGTCTAATGGGGAATAAAAAGGATGATCTCATAATGTCTCTTTATGATCTATAAATCACATTATTCCATAACTCTGACACAAGTGTCAGTATTAGCATTAAGAGTCAACACTCTTAAGCAAAACAAAACAACAATAAGCAGCTGCCACTTTTCTGATTTAAATGTAAAAGCTGGCTGTACAGATAAAGCAACTTTCATTTACTTCTAAAGTCCAAAAAAAATTCAAGGTTTGTTCTCAATATTTTAGACTTTCAACATTGGGCAGAAATCCAAGTACCTTCTTCAGGCTCAGTGGAATTTTGTTAATTATACACTTAAACTTTACTTAGGTGTTTCTGAAAGCACTAATACAAAATACATAAAGTTTTAGTAAATTTGACCAGTCCCTGAAAAAGTACTCTTGGGGTAGTTTAACATCTAAATTCAAGCTGGCCAGTTAGCTCAGCTGGTTAGACCCCGATGTTGGTAACACCAAGGTCAAGGGTTCAGATCCTGATACAAGCCAGCTGCCAAAAACAAAACAAAAATAAATTTAAGAAAATCATTAAAAGCCTAAATTCAATTAGATTAGTATCCATGTTTATTTATTTATTTATTTATTTATATTTATTTATTTTTTTTAAAGATGACCGGTAAGGGGATCTTAACCCTTGACTTGGTGTTGTCAGCACCATGCTCACCCAGTGAGCAACCGGCCATCGCTATATGGGATCCGAACCCGTGGCCTTGGAGTTATCAGCACCACACTCTCCCGAGTGAGCCACGGCCACCATCGCTATATGGGATCCGAACCCGTGGCCTTGGAGTTATCAGCACCACACTCTCCCGAGTAAGCCACGGCCGGCCCCAGTATCCACGTTTATTTAGTTTGTTATAGTGTTTTAGGCAAAGACACAAAATAATTACTTAACAAAGGAATAGGATTTGCATTGGTAGGTCACAATTACTTCTGAAAATGCAAGACTCAACTTCAGATAATATCAATGACCCTAAAGCAATCCCTTAAGCTAAAAGTCTATGCACTCCATCATTTCTTTAGCTGTAACCACAAAGTCTGGTTTTACGCCTAGGGTATACAAGAAGCATCAGTTTAAAAGCATCAAATGGGCCGGCCCGTGGCTCACTCGGGAGAGTGTGGTGCTGATAACACCAAGGCCCCGGGTTCGGATCCCATATAGGGATGGCCGGTTAGCTCACTGGGTGAGCGTGGTGCTGACAACACCAAGTCAAGGGTTAAGATCCCCTTACCAGTCATCTTTTAAAAAAAAAAGCATCAACTATCAGATTATATTTGTTTAAACTAACCCTTGGAGACTGTTTCTTTAACTTCATATCACACTTTTCTTTTGCTGTGCTTATACAAATTTGCCAAGTATAAGCACGGTAAAAGAAAAGTGTGATATAAAGTTAAAGAAATAGGCTCCAAGGGTTAGTTTAAACACACTCACAAAATCCAATCTATGCTCACACTGTGCTTCAACCTAAAACTGATGGATAACCACCAATCCTGATTTATCTCACATTCCCCACTACCTACATCCACCCTTTTCATCTCCTGAATTTCTCCACTAATCTCATCACTTGTTATGGGTTTTCGCTACTCTAATCTCCATGGCCTTTCCTTTCCTGCAAAGTTCTTTCCCAGCACCTGGCTGGCTCCCACACATTACTACCTCCACAATTTAGTTCTAAGTTTTGTTTTGGTTTAACTTATTAGATATTAATTTTGTCCCCAATCTTTTGTACTCATGTTTCTCTGATCAGCCTTTTACTTTTCATTAACCTCATCCTCACTACAATATTTACCCTCTCCTTTCAAACTAGAGCATGTATCTTTTCCTGACATTTGTAATTCTGGCTCACAGTAAACACCCTCTTCCTCTCCCAGGGACTGTTACCATAGCCCTAGGTCCCCGTTCCCAGTCCTTATCTTCCTAAGTAAGGCCTCTTCCCTGACAGTTTGTCAACGTTAGTTTGGCTAAACTGGGATTCCACCCTCAAGGCAAAGGCTATCTTCCCTCCTTATTCTACAAAACTACAAGCCTCCCACCACCCTTGACTTTCCCTCCTCCACCCTTAAATCCATCTGCATCAGCCCTGCCCGTTTCCCCCTGCCCCCAGTGTCTGTATTCCCACTATCCCGCGCTCCCCTTCTTTACTCCTGAATGCACCTCTTCTCTCGGGCCTTACCAGTAACCCTGACAGTGGGAAGGCCCTGCCAGCGGCCTCACGGAGTCTCTCCACCCGGCCTCCTCCGCTCTTCAGTAACTGTCCCCACGCCCCTTTCCCACCAGGGCCCGCGCGCCGCCCGGAGCCCCCTCCTCGATTAAGCTCCCGCTGTCACTTTGGCCTCTCATCCACAAGATGGCGGAGCTGCTGCCCCCAACCCCTGGGTCTGCTCCGCAACCCCCAGCCTCTTTCCCGTAACTCCCGTCCCGTCCCTCCAGCCCTCCCCGCCGCCAGCCTGGGCCCAGGGTCCCGCTGCCCCCTCCCGTGGTAGGCGGGCAGCTCAGGCCCAAGCTCAGCTGCGACGCCGCCAACGCCAATGCCTCTGCCGTCCCCCGGCCTGCACCGTCTCCTCACCATAAACTTAAGTGCTTTCTCCTGCAGCACCGCCTCGGCCGGGTCCATAATCACCGGGGCCTCTGGGTCTGCTTTCCGCCAGGGCCGCCCCTTTGGTGCCAGGCCGCAGCTAAAGCAGCGCCCGGATCCCGCCTCCTCTTCCTTTCCCCCGCCCTCTCTTACCTCTCAAGCATCGGCAGGAGAGTCAAGGAAGACCAGCTGCTCCGTGCGCATGCGTAAGCCCGCTGGCTCACGGGATTTGTAGTTTCCCGCAGGCGCTTCCTGCGGCAAAAAGTGAGGCTACGCCGCGAACCGCAACTCCCGCAGTTGGCTGAAACAGCGTCGAGGTTGCCGGCAAGCCAAATCCAGACAACTCTCTATGAAGCAGAGGAAATGGGCTGATGGGAATTGTAGTTTACAGCCTCTACGGATGAGAAACGGGAGGGGCACGGGTGTCTCCGTGGTTACCGAGCGACGCCAGTGGCGGCTTGCCTGGCTTTTGATATCAAGATGGCGACCAGTGCCTCACCTGTAGCCTAAATACTGGAAAAAGTTGCAAGGACTAAGGGGCCCCAGGCCCCTAACTGTGGTTTTAGCGAATGGACGTCCCCAAATTTCATATATCTGGAATCTGCAGGAGGATTGCGACCCAGAAGCTCTGGGCCAACGGGCACCTGGCAGCAGCTCACAGACCAATGCAGAATTTCAAGGTCCTCAGGCTATCACGCCACACTTTTTTTTTTTTTTTTTTTTTTAAAGGATGACCGGTAAGGGGATCTCAACCCTTAGCTTGGTGTTGTCAGCACCACGCTCAGTCAGTGAGCAAACAGGCCATCCCTATATAGGATCCGAACCCACGGCCTTGGTGTTATCAGCACCGCACTCTACCGGGTGAGCCACGGGCCGGCCCTCACGCCACACTTTTACCGAGGAAACTTTCCTCCGCCACAGCCAGTTCGGGCGGGATAAAAATTTACTCGGGATATTATGGATGTTTAGAGCTCAGAAAGCGTAGCCTGTTACTGCTAACCCTGGGATATAAGCCCTGCCCTAAGGGCCAAACAGGTACTTACAAAAGCACTTCAACTGCGGAATTAATGGCCATCTAGCAAGTAAAGCATATGAGTATTTTCTTTGACTTTGAAAGGGGCAATACGAGTTGATTTTAAAGATTAGTCTAAGGGCCGGCCCCTGGCTCACTTGGAAGAGTGTGGTGCTAACAACACCAAGTCAAGGGTTAAGATCCCCTTACCGGTCATCTTAAAAAAAAAAAGATTAGTCTACCTTGTGAGAAACAAACTCTTTTTTTTTTTTTAAAAAAAAAAGATGACCGGTAAGGGGATCTCAACCCTTGGCTTGGTGCTGTCAGCACCACGCTCAGCCAGTGAGCAAACCGGCCATCCCTATATAGGATCCGAACCCATGGCCTTGGTGTTATCATCACCGCACTCTACCGAGTGAGCCACGGGCCGGCCCGAGAAACAAACTCTTAAGGTTGGGCTAAAAACAATGTTTTTGATAGGCTTGTACAAAATATCTAAATTTATAAAATAAGTGAATTAGGAAAATGCCTTTTCACTTGTAGGAAAAATCTCCATTGTAAACTATTTTATTTGTTAGTTCGTTCAATAAATGGTAAGCACATAACTTACGCAGACATCATCTCAAGAAATGGGAGGGCTGGCTAGTTAGCTCAGTTGGTTAGAGCTACAGCTTTATAACACCATAGTCACAGGTTCAGATTCACATAGCAGAAGACAAGACAAAACAAAGAAATGGGGATTCGTTGTTGAACGTGACAGACCCAGTCCTTTTCCTTGTGGAGCTTACATTTCTGGTATGCTGATACTTAGTCCTAGTCACCCCTAAGTCCACAGGACTCGGCACAATACCTAATACATAATAGACTTTCAGTTAATAAAAATCTTTGCTCTTAAATTTTAAAAAAAAGTTCCAAATAAGTGCAAAATGGAGAAGACTTAAAACCCATTTGTACAAAATCTACCTAGAAATTTTTACAGGACTAATGCAGTAATGTGACATGGTTACCAAAAAAAGGAGTCCTAGGAAGCTTGAAGAGAAGTAGTGTCGGGCCGGCCTGTGGCTCACTCGGTAGAGTGCGGTGCTGATAACACCAAGGCCACGGGTTCGGATCCCATATAGGGATGGCTGGTTTGCTCACTGGCTGAGCGTGGTGCAGACAACACCAGGCCAAGGGTTGAGATCCCCTTACCGGTCATCCTTTAAAAAAAAAAGAAGAGAAGTAGTGTCTGTCTGGGACAAAGAGGCTTGTGGTCTTACTCTGTTTTGAACCATTCAGAGCACACCTGGAATACTTTGTTCAGTTATGGGCAGCATGTTCTGTTAACATCATATGGCAGAAGCATAGCCAAGGGAAGGAAGACCCAGCAAGAAAATATTGGTGGGTGATTTCTCTGAAAAAAGAGTACTCAGGAATAACATGACAACTGACTTCAAGTATTTGAAAAACTGTTTGAAGGCAAACTATGACCAATAGGTGGAATAATAATAATACTGATGATAATTAACAACAACAGCTATCACTTTATTAGCTCTGTGTGCCAGGCACTGAACTAGCCATTTTACATTCATAATCTCTAATATTCATAATAACTCTGTGAAACGTGTTATTATCCCTAATTTACAGATGAAGAGAATGAGGCTGATAGAATATAAACAACTTGCTTAAGTCACAGCAAATTACATAGTCGAGATCCTAACCCAGGTCTGCTTGACACCAAGGCCTGCTTGACTTGGAGTGCTATTTTCACTGAACCACGCTGCAGTGACATAGAAGTCAGATTAAGAAGAGGCTTTCTAGTAAACAGAGCTGTACTGACAAAGGAATGGACTGCCCCTTTCCTGAAAACATATAGAGGCAGGATGACTATCTTTCAGTGATATTGCCTAGGGGGTTTCAGTTTGGGTGGGAGGTTAAGATCTTAAAAGATCTTAAAAGATTCTATACTGTTGAGGGCCGGCCCATGGCTCACTCGGTAGAGTGCGGTGCTGATAACACCAAGGGCCCGGGTTCGGATCCCACATAGGGATGGCCGGTTCGCTCACTGGGTGAGCGTGGTGCTGACAACACCAAGTCAGGGGTTAAGATACCCTTACCGGTCATCTTTTAAAAAAAAAAAAAAAAAAAAAAAGATTCTATACTGTTGAGAAGTCAGTAGTTTCACTTTGTTATCTATAGAGGAGTATGAAAATATTGCCTGATAAGACTGGCAGTCAGTGACAGCCCTCTCTTTGTCCAGTCATACAGAGGTGAGGATTAGTAAAACACAAGGAGTTTTGGTTTAATCTATGCATATTGATTAAAACTGAGTTGGAAAAAAAAAATCACCCCAAAAACTGGGCCCGCCCGTGGCTCACTTGGGAGAGTGTGTTGCTGATAACACCGAGGCCAGGGGTTCAGATCCCTATATAGGGATGGCCGGTTAGCTCACTTGGGAGAGTGTGGTGCTGACAACACCAAGTCAAGGGTTAAGATCCCCTTACCGGTCATCTTTTAAAAAAAAAAAAAAAAACTGAGTTGGAAGGGGCTGGCCACAGAAAGGCTAAATTCTCTTTGTTTGAAAATTGACCACTCATGGTCAGGCAAACTGAGAAATCTAAATATAAATTGCCTTGATTTTCAAGTCCCTCATGTCCAGTATGGTTTAGGAAAGTTCACTGGACTGGGAGTTAAGAAGCCTGGTTCTAGCTCATCCTTTCAGCAGTTAATTGGTTGATTTTAGGCAATTAACCAAACGTTTTTGGCCCTCTCTCTTGTCATCTGGAAAACAAAGGTCTCTGGCAACTCTAAAATGAGTGCATCTATGAGCCTGTACATGACACAGGTAGTAAAGGAGAACACTGAGTCATTAGAACCTTTAAAGCTCCACTTTAGTGGAGAATAGACTTCCAATATGAGAAATCACAGCTACCACCAGACTTAATTTCTTCCCCAACCTCCTGTTTAAGATCTCAGAGTACTCTTTGACTCTTTCTTGTCTATTAGTGGCTGTGTTTAGCCAATAATCCATCAAATGTCTCTTCTAGCCCCCACTTCCGATGCTAGCCTGTTCTAGATTATCACCACCTTTTTTCGTTTGGGTCACCATATTCATGTCCGGTTCAGTTCTTAGACTCCAGACTCTCTCCTTCCACTCCATCTGATAATCTCTTTTAAACCTTAATTTCATCACATTTCTTCCCTGCTCAATCCTTTTATGGCTCTTTTATCTCCTTTAACTTTGTTTAAATTCCTTTGTCTGGCTTTCAAGACCTTCATAATCTTATCCAATCCTATCTCTTCAGCCTTACTTCCCATTTTGCTTTAATATGCCCCCTCTGCAATTAAAGGGCATATTAATTGCCCTTTAATTAGACCGTTCTTCTCCTACCCACATCTTAGTCATTTTGCAGCTCTGGAAGTCTTCCCTTTTCCCCTTTTTCTCACTCATCTTTCAAGGTTCAATTTAAATCTTACTTTAAAAAATATTTACCTAGGGCCGGCCCGGTGGTGCACTGCATAGTGCGCCGCTTGAGAAGCGCAGCGGCGCTCCCGCCCGAGGGTTCGGATCCCACATACAGACCGGTTCCCGCTCACTGGCTGAGCGAGGCACGGGAGCAACACCGAGGGTTGCAATCCCGTTGCCGGTCCCCAGTCCGGTACGGGGGCAACACTGAGGGTTGCGATCCGTTGCCAGACACGGAAAAAGACAAAAATAAAAAAAATATTTACCTAGTTATTTATTACCACAGCCCAATCTCTTTTCCCTCCCTCCATAGGCAGTGTTTATCTTTTTGTTTGTATGGTTCTTGCAAAATAGATATTTATCTTTTTGTTTGTATGGTTCTTGCAAAATAGATATTGTTTTGTGTGCTATATTTTTAATTCACAAATGCAATATGTTTTTATTTTTTATTTTTATTTTTATTTTTATTAATTTTTTTTTTTTTTAAAGATGACCGGTAAGGGGATCTTAACCCTCGACTTGGTGTTGTCAGCGCCGCGCTCACCCAGTGAGCGAACTGGCCATCCCTATATGGGATCCGAACCCGTGGCCTTGGTGTTATCAGCACCGCACTCTACCGAGTGAGCCACAGGCCGGCCCTATTTTTAT